TTAAATATAATTATATTTTAGGGGCATAATATAATTTTAATTTTTAAAAAAATCATATAAATTTTTCGAAATAAATGTATACAATTTCTGATATCGATGGACATTTTTTTAAAAATATATTCGTAGATAAGTTTACCGTTTCGCGAAGAGGAAATTAATGTTTAGGATATTAAAACGTTACGTCACAAACAATAGATACTCTTCCGTTACAAGTAAGACGACTTCCGGAATCGATAGAGCGAAACACACGAGTATATTTGTATAAAATATAATCTATTTGTAGAAGACTTCATTCCACCCCAATTGACGAAGACGATGTCGAAATGAGTGGGGATCACGTGACTCGGTGCACACCCCCTTCTCTCTCTTAACGTACTAGCATTTTGAACTTCCCATCTCAACAATACTCGAATACCGTGTATATAGGTATGTACTGTACTATCTTAAGGAAAGGCCAACGTCTGATTGTTTTAAATGTCATCCACGGCTGTCACGTAAGCTTCTTTTGTTTCGTTACTAAATGGCATCTCATCAGTTTGACCCCCCACTGTGCCACGAAGATGAATATCTACCTAAGCTGAAGGCGATCGAGATGATCTGAAGCGGGTGTGTGTTATGTCAGCGAATTCTTTCCCTCTCGTCTTTTGGCCAATTGTTACATACTAATTTCCCCCCTACCCCCGGGCCAATTCGTGATTTCCCTCCCCCCGAGAAATAAATAAAGATCAAAGAACTTTTATAAGATGTTTATCGTTAAAATTTCTTACATTAAAAAATAAAAAATCAGTATCCGACTTCTAACCAAAAATAGATTAATTGGATGAATGTTTGTGCCCTGTAATCACACTAATTATCTTAAGATAAGGATTTTTAGCATTAAGGATTCTGCAGTTTGTCATTCAACGGGGTTAGAAAAATCTGTAATTTTAAAAATGTTTATCCACAGATCTTTCCACCTGGGTTACTATCGCATGAAGAGAGTAAACAGCTCCAGTTGTAAATCATGGAATGATGGTGGCACAGTCGAGGACCTCCGACTACTTACACGTTTCATTTCTGAACTGAAAGATAATTTGTTTTTATGATAAACAAACGGAATAACTATTTAAAAAAAAAAAAAAAGAAGAAAGAAAGAAAGAAACTTGTATTTTGTAACTTTATAATGAGTTTCTTAGTAACGAAGCTCATTATTTACAAAGAGTTTGATACTATTTTTACTAATTTCGAGATAATTATCTCTTCGTTTAATTGTTATTTTTGTTTGTATGACGTAGTGTTTTTAAAATTATTTTTCTGTGACATTTAAGGTTTTAAGAAAGGAAATAAAATGCAAATGAGAATTTAGAAATTAATATACTTTATTTCTAAATATCACTGAACGTTTCTACTAACGTTGTACGTTTATAACGTTTAAAAAATCACAGAAAAGTATAACCAAAAAGATGATGGCGCCGACACGAACACTTAGACAGAGTAACACGTCACGACACACGCACGATTCATAAAAATCTTTTTTTTTTCCTCTATATAAAACAAACTGACGTTAACCAAACTATTTACAATGTTTACAATCCACATACGGTACAAACTTTTTTTCTTTATATAATAATTACAAACTGAATTGATGTCAATGCGACATGGGGACGGGCTTCCCCTCAACACACACTACCTCAAGGAATGTAAAAGATGAATTCATTGTGTCCAAATGGGTACTCACTATATCTAGACCTTGGAAGTGAGGTTGACATCGAGACAGTAAAATGATAATAGAAAGAGATGTTCAGTTGCAGTAGTGTTCTTCTCGTTGATAGCGACACATCTCGCACTGAACTTTACAACACCATACAAACTTACAGTGACATTTCTCCTCCACTTCACGCACCACTGTCTGATAACCACGACCGCAGCATAACAACCTGCAACCGTCCATACCGTAGCTGGTGTGGTTGCACAGGCGTCCTTGAGTGCCCAGAACTCCCAATCTGTAACACAACCATCTAATGTTATAGGCCATAAATATATTTACAAAGGGGTAGAGAATTTACTTACGTTTCGTTCCTGTGGCAATAGTCTGGAGATTCTTCCAGATAAACTAGATCCCTTTTGCTAGGTCTCTTAATATTACGTTTCAGAGGACGAAGGGTGGCTTTGTGTTTTCTCTGAACGGCTCGGACGTATGTTGCTCCATCGAATTTACTAGTCAACGCGTTGCCTATGGTGCGAAAAGGCTGAAGACGTCTCCAACAGACCCGGACGGTGCAGGATCCGGACACTCCGTGACATTTGCATACTAACTCCATGCTGATGCGTAGAGTCTAGAATTTAAAACGTTTCCATCTTTTAGAGAAAAGGAACACGGGGTTTTTATTTGTAATAAATCAGATTGTATCTATTTGTTTGTTATCGGAACCCTCCTATAATTATACTCGGCGGAGTTTATCTACAGGCTATATTCTTCAACTGATATCTACTGATTGTCAACGATTTCCTACAATTAGGCCATCGGATTGATACTCTCTGCACCCCTATATTAGTGTCTCCCGACAATTACGGTTGTTAATCTCCATTTCTGCCTAAACTAATGGTCCTACTGGCAAATATTTTAATGAGGAAACCATTTTTTTTCCTTTGTTTTCAGATCGTTATAGTGTCTAAGTTCTCAAATATAAAGATAAATATATGCACGAGGTCTCAGTTGTCTCTCTTATTATCGACACGTGGTATTGGCCTAATGTAAACTAATAAGCATTTTGTAGGATAGATAAGGGTGTAAAATTTCTAAATATAAATATAAATGTTGCCGTAAGACTCGAGCGTGTTTAGATACGAAGGATATCGCAAAACTCGAGATATGGAGTATAATTCGCAGCTAAACATCTCCGGGATAACCCGCTTCGTATTAGAAACTAAACAGATTACGTACAAGAAAATTTATTGGTTAATATTGTTTATAATATTAAAAATTTTGCCTGCGAAGTTTTATACTTTATCACAACTCAATTTATGATTTGGTGAAGTATACAAAATGTCAGTTTTTTTATGTATTTCAAAGATAATTAATAAAGTAAGGCACAGCAACAACGTCACCAACCTTCTTATATTAAAAAGTGCTTTCGCCTACTTTACTTTAGGCTTCTTCAGTTAATACTTTTGTTCCTGTGCCTTATTTTATTAATGCTTCTCTGATAAAACTGATCGAAGATTCCTTTTCTAAAGAGAATTTAAGTAGGAAGATCGTAAAAAATTGTAATAAATAATATTATATCGCATCCTTATTGATTTAATTTGCAAATTTTTATTCTTAGCTCGTTAAATTGAACGGAGAGGAAAGTGATTTAAACTGTCTCCCGTGTAAATATAGAAAGTAATAGAAAAATATTACCAACATTCCTTTTTAATATGGTAATTATCTTTCGAATTAGAGCCTTATCAGTAGAGAAACGTAAAAATTGTAGAACAGAAGTATGAAATCTTTCGAACTATTTTGGAAAATCGCACCGGCGTAGGCACCGGCAAACATAAAGGAGAATCTGTAGTTTTTAAAGGTCCCAAAGCATGGAGGAGACATCATAAAAACGGCGGGTTTCGGCACTGGCACTCCAACCGGTGAAAATAAAATATCCATTCTTATCTCTTAACAGCTGAGGGCCAAGGTGAGCAAGTAGCAAGTGGAGACTTCCCTCTAACCATTAACAGCAATTACCGAGCCCCTTTAGCTAATAAACAGAGAGGAACGTGTCATTTCCTTCCGACCGCTGCGTTTTAATATCCTTTCTCCCAATAACTAGTCATTCGTCTCTTTTCCCAAACAATCATTGCCATGCCTTCAATTTGCAAAAGTGGTCTTTTAATGGTACATATGGCTCGGACGGTGGCTTCGTCTTGGCTTTTACTGTGCATCACAATGCTTCTTTTATAGCCTAGCCAGATGGCTTACCCCACTACCTCCACCTTCCACTATTAAAATATACTTTAACAAATGCTTCTGTAAACTTTACAGTTCAACATTCTTACTTACTGAAGTTAATCATAAAACTTATCCTAAAGTCGTTTAGTCGGGAAAGTTTTGTAAATGCCCGTCTTAACACGGTTTAAAACGTTAGTTTCCACCAAGAGATATGAAATCGTAACGCGCTTTACAGGCTAATTTCTATAGAAGAGAAAAGAAGTGATCTCACCCTTCGTCCGGCTTCGTTATTGTGTATATTCATCAGACCATCGGATTTCTTAACGTTTTCACCCGAATCTACAAAATCTTTACTAAACTTGGCTCCAAATTTGATATCCTCCGAGCATCCACCCCATTTCCAACGTCCTGCTGTGTCCCTCGTCCTGATGTTTTCGTCGCATCCACACTCTGCCATCTCTCCTTTGCTGCAGGCTCGGGTGATGCTGTAGGCCACACCGGCAGCAGATATGGCATAAACGTATGCTTTCTCTCGACTTCCTGTCAATAATAATAAAAAAAAAGGTATAGTCTAAACACAAAAGTAAAATTACAACCAGATGGTTTTACATATACAAATCCAATTTTATATATAAACATCCTTAGTTTACTCAAAATAAAACCTGGTTCTCTTTACTCCGACTGCAACCCCTCCACACACTTCTTCTTCTTTTTTTTTTAATATGCATTTTTATCGAATTATAATTTTTATACAGGCCTTGCGATATATGTTTTGAAGGTTATAAATTATGTTATCTGAAGGAAAATAAATAGAAATTAATTGGATATGTTACGGCATGTGAATGAAGGAATCAACAAACGTCAATCAACCGACCCAAGAAAGTAAACTGTCAAGGAAGAAATTTTCCATTTCTATGCAAAATATCTAAAGAAATATTTCATTTTTTTTTTTAAATCTCTAATTCTACACAAAAATTGAATTTTTATTCGTATTCCAACGTGTAAAACGAACAATTATTAAGTTTAGGCGAATTAAATCGATGTAAAACCAGCGGATAAAAACGATTTTAAATAAATAAAGAGTCGAAATTTTTAACTTTTTTTTTCGATAAATTTAACACACGTTTGTATTTAGATTACAGAATATATATAATTGAGTTCACGTGTAGCCGTATAGACTCAATTTTCGGGAACATTAAGGGATATTTATTTAGAAAACTCCATTTTGTAAATCGTGTGTAAGAAGATATTACTAATATTTTTCTTAAAACTTTGGATCAAAGTTTATTCTCGTTATCGATATATACCACGTGACTGAACTTCGACTCTAATAATATTAACCCCTACGACTAGGAATAAATAACGTAATGTCCTTTTCTTTTTTTTTTTTTGTATCTTACTTTCAGATTTTAATTCCCTAATAATTATTATTCCCTTGGATGGATAGCGGAATAAATAACGTGTTTTTATCTGAAAGGTAAAGAGTATTGGATGATAAGTTTTCGGGGAGAGAGTTTGGCCAGATTGCAAGAAGTTTAATTAACTACTCGACAGTTGGATTTAGGTTTATCACCGCTGGTTGCTGGTGTATAGAGGTTTACAATACACACACACATATATATATAACCCTCGAAAAATTAGCCAGATCGAAGTAAAAAGTCGTAGTGCACTCGGAAATATAATAGAAGAGAGGAGACGAATGAATTTGTTATAGCGTATCCTAGCGACAGGCGATCGAACAGCGACTATTTACGAGACATGTGCATCATAAAACAGCGAGTTGTGTAGTAATTCTCCCGGGAACATCTTTTACGAGCGACCTATTGACGGAGAGGGATTTGAAACCCTCCAATCGCCCACCGATCACTTGATGTCATCATTATTACAACTCGAACTTGGTCGAGTTGCAATTAGTCTAACGAACTCAAATCGTACGGCCGTCGTGTGTTATTCTAGAAAAGAGTAATTGGTGGTCGAAATTCGATCCTCACGTCCGCGACAGTCAAATAAATTGAGAGACGACAGAACCTGGAACGAAACTTTTCCAGTCAACATCCGCGGTGACGTCACTTTTTAATGATTTTCCATCAAATTATGTTACGGATGACGTTAGAAACGGAGACGAATTTGGGACACTTCGACCGAATTTTCCATCTCCGAGGAAAAAGAAAAAAAAAAAAACAGAAAATGGAAAGGTTTATTTCCTGGCGTATTACTCATTAATCAATGTTTCTTAGACCACACGGGTTATGAAAGAACAAAGTCATCATTCTCCACCAGTTTATGTCAGATTATCAAGGTCCTGCTGTTGTCAGTCTGTGCAAGCATCTGCCTGCCGTCTGCTCAACAATGTTCTTTCGGTAGCTACTGTCTTAAGCACTAATGTGCCAAAATTCTCGAGATGTAACTCACCTGATAGCGTCAGAGGAAAGAAAAAAAGAAAAAGAAATTCGTTTTCTCCACCATCCCCAGAAAAGGTCATAAATCCGTTGAGAAATTCTACACTCCAACCTTTATGCTTTATCGTCACCAAATGATTATCGCGCTAATAATTTAACTTTCTTAATTCTTTCTGAAAGATTAAAGATTTATATCTGAGTGGAAGACAGTGTGGTGTTTATAAAAACACGGCTTAATGGCCCAACCGGTGGAAAAAACGTCGAAGATGGCAGATAGTGTCAATGGGAAGATGTTACCAAAGTTAAAAACCGTTTCGTTAACATCCACCCACTCGGCAGATGTCTGATAGGTAGAAGGGGGGTTTGTCGTACGATAGAATCAGACTGAATTCTGTCAAAAAAGACGGTCGCAGTAGCCTGTCGTATATAGACAAAGATGGCTTTGTAGCAGCAGGAAGCACACCGACCAAAACATAACCGAAGTCCTCATTTGTCTCATCCATCACTAAGAAATTACCGTGAAACTGGGACCAAAATAACAAACTACACAATTCCATTCCTATTTTGCCAGCTTCACTCCCTTCTCTAGACATTTCATAGAATTCATGTATCCTATATATAGAATAATCTGTCTATCTATCAGCAATTGTTTCCTTTTGGCAACCACACAAGAATCGAGCAAAAGCCAATTCTGTTTATCTCCTTTTCTAGATTTGAAATCTAATTTGTTTCGCCTCCTATGCTTATTAATGTTTCCTTTTTTTTTTCCTACAACCGAACAACGAACAATAAAGACTTCTTCCGTAGCAAAATTTCGACTACTTTTATACAAATTAATAACAATTTCACTGGAAATTATTTTGTCAGCTAGGCCTATCTTCTAAATCATCTTCGCTGTATCTACATCATCATCTACATTTTCTTATCCCCGTAACCGGACGATAGGAAGGGGAAAGAAAAATCCAGTTTAGATTTTAATTTGATATTGGTGGAATACTTAATTGATTTACTATAGAATCCACACCAAATAAATTACTCTTGTTTTTCCGCGTTTAACCTGTTCGACCTACAAAACAATTTATTCCTACAACTAATTAATGCATCGTTTATCTTATTCGCATCGAATTTTTATCGACAAAATTCGTTAAATTTATACTATTTAACTAGAAATTTCGTCAAAAGTTACTCCTCGGAACTTTTAACTCCGCGATATCTGCTTGTTGTACGCTGTTTAAATAAAATTTAGGCAATATTTCTCCGATTATTTGCTAAAAATAAGCTATAATTATTGAAATTAAACGGAAATTATTAAATTTTATTGAAAGTATCTCAACTTATTTATGCAAGGAAGTCGACGAATCTTCATTACATAAGTATCTTCGCTTTTATTACGTAAATACACTCGGAATACAATTAACAATTAAAGAAAAAGGAATAGGATAGGAATTAAAACTTCCTATTCCTGTTCATTATACCATTTCCCTTAATAGTTACGATCACGAGTAATTCTTAAGTTAAGATATTAGTACAGAAGCATTCATTTTCTATGCAAGGCACATAAAAATCAAATATCTGTAAATGAATATCGGAAATTTAAAAGAGTAGAAAGGAAAACAAACCAGGAAAATTCTAGCATTTGCCATTTAGCTTCAAACTGTGCAAGTGGCATCTTCTAAATATAGGATGAAAGTAAACATATTTTGCGTATCTTTTTGACAGGCCAAACATTTGGCGGAAGACACCGAAAAGAAGATACTAATAGGTTCAAAATTGTCCTCTTTCATTCTTGGAATACATTAAATATTAACTTTTTATCCCATGAAATATTATCATCGAAAGCAATAAAGAAGAGGAGGAAGCAAATTTTCGGTTTCTACTGATTGCAGAAATTTATCAAAAGGGTATAAAGTTAGAAAGGAAAAGGAAAAATAAAAAAATAAAAAATTGTAAGCGAAAAGGAAAGTAAACTGATATTGTTTTACTCGAGAGGGAGAGAAGAAAAAATAAAATAAAATAAAAATAAATTATAAAATTAGACACGTCGAGGAAAGCAAATAAGGAAAAGAAAAATGTAATCTTCGTTTCATTCTCTCGTTTTGTATAACCTAAAAAACAATTATGAAACAATCTAGGTTAAAGCGGTGCTTAAATCTCATACGTTTATGAAATAGGAACAAGCTAATAAGTTCTTAATTATAGTTCACATCCTGGTACACTAAACAATAAACATTTATTATTCTTGGCATTAATCCTTAGAAATATAATGAACGGGGAAAAAAAGCTAACATTTGTATCGATGGCCTTGAGCTAACCAGAACTTGGAAAAAAAAAAAAAAAAGCCTCAGGTGCTTGATTACCTTTAGTTGTATCCGACTCCGCCCTAGAAAAGCCCTATTGACAATTAAACTTTAGCCCGAGTATTTACCTGTCTCTTAGATTTCGTGTGCTGTCAATTTGCTATGTTATTCCTTTGATAGGTTACGTCTTGGTTGATGACAGGTATCTCCCCCGAGCAACAACACTGGTCAACTTAGCTAATTTATAAAGTAGCAACTGGAACGGATAAGATAGGAGGGGGGATAATTAAGCGGTTCTATTGGAAAAATTTACTAAAAATGTAGTATTTAAAATTTGTAGGGGGGAGAGAGAAATTCTGTAACGTGATTAAAAACGGATTAAACGATACCAAACCTACTTACTGACGTCCAAAATTCCACCGAAGACGCTTGGAGTGTTGTTGTACGTCGTACAGTTCCAACGATTCATGTAAAATTGATGTTGGCATTCGTCGATTCCCAGTTTTGCTCCTCGACTGACCGTTTGCAAAATGTTGTAGCTTAAACCACACAACTCGCGTTGTCGTTCCACCAAATAATACAGTTTGCGGCAATAATGCTTATACGTTGTCGGTTTGAGCTCTAGCGTATTCTGATACGTACTTGGCATTCCCAACAACCTGTAAATAAAATGGAATTTTTATTATCTCGTGCATTAGAAGGGTGTTAAAGAGTTGACAGAAAGCATCAGCCATTTCGTTTAAAAAAAATAATAATAAAAGAATTAGCAACTAATCTTGATATTTTCTATAATAATGGGATTCCCATTGGAGAAATAATCGACCTTGAGGTAAGAATGAGGGTAATCGGGCAAGACTGATCTCATTGAAACCACATGGCGTTCAATTCTGCTCCGATCACGTTAACATCACTCAATGTCTAGCATCAACATTCGATGGAGTGACAGTTTCAAAAATAAAACAAACTTACGTACTGGCCGCAAAGAATGTGAAAAAAAAAGATTGTTTTGCTTATCGAAATTTATTAAAATAGATCATAATGGATAAAATACAAAAGGACGGATGCTATTGTAAGAGGACGGAGGACGAGAACGATGGTAGCATAAGATGAGATTCAATAAAGGGGTTCATATTTTGCGAAGACCAATAGAAAATAGGACGAAGCTGATCGAAGGTCAAATGGAACACCTGGTTAGCCAAGCGATTGTGTGGTGAGTACGGAAGAGAGGGTCTCTGACTGACAGCTGACAAATTGGAGACGACCGACCGAACGGAGGAGTGGCTTGCTTTTGTATCACCTTAGCTACAACATCAGAATTCATCAGAAAGGAGACAATGGATAAGCTTTGAGTTTAAGCATCTAATGCCTTAAATATTGAAAGAAATTGCTGAATAATGAACCCCGATGTTTCGAGTGATCAACATTCTCTGCATACTGCAGAGAATTATATCGTAAGTGTCGCCTCATTGTCGTCGAGAAGGCTTTAAACCCATTATCCAATCACGCATGAGAATTTATCCGTACAACTTTTTTTTTTTTCTAATTCGAGGTTAGAAAGAGAGAGAGAGAGATCTTCCTTTCTGGAAATCCCGTATAATTGTCATGATTCAATAGCAGCAATTTGCTTTTTCTCTTTATAAGGCGAAGTGTGTGCGAGTCAGGTCATCCTCCATATATCCTACCTGAAATTGTTTCTATTTAGTATGCGGTCGAACGTACTCGTAATAAGATTTGGCCCTCCTCTTGTCTAACCCTGCGTATATATGTGTGAAAGGACTAGGAAGGAGAGAGAAAGAGAGAGATCGGACGAGATTTATATAGGAAACCGCAGTTGGGAGCAAGTAGGCTGTTCCTGCCCGTACATCACAGCATCACAAAAGAAAGACAGCCAGAAGCACCCAAAGCCTCAGAAATTCGCAACGAACCAATAAATCATGACAACTCCGTGACGATGTTTGTCAGAACAGAAAATGCTCCCTCGTGCTTAAGGACAAGCACCGCATGGCTATGCAACCGTCCCCGAGAGTGCATCTCGGTATAAATCACCAGCAACACACCGACGCTGCAGCCTCGTGAATCAGTACATGAGATTAGCTTCCCCCTGCCATACATGCACGTGCATGGCAACCTCCCCTACCAGCTGCCACCTCTAATGGCACAGTTATTAGTGAATCATCAGTGGTCAGCGGAGAGCTATAATTTGCTCCACTAGTCTAACTTTATCCTCTAAAGATAATTTACCAATACTAAAAAAATTCCCACTTTTCGAAAAAAAAAAAATATATATATATAGTAAAGGTTTCATTATCGATATGACTTTACTATAATAATTAATTACGGCTTATACACTCATTGTACTGCGTGACAGAGTCAGTAAGCGATTATATTTAATGAGGAATCTTAAGCTAAAGATTTCCAAAGAATTTGTCTAAAATTATCTTGGAGATAATTCAGGAAACGTAATTAGCTACTTGTCATTTGATAATTATTAACTTGTGTATGAATTCGTCATTATTCTAAATCTTTATATACGGAGTTGAAACGAATGCCAAAATTCGAAGAGAACTCTCGAGAAATATATAATTTAAAATTGAAAAACTGTCGTTTCCATATGTTATAATCTTAATTTTACTTAATATTTAATTAAATTAATATTAATTCTACTCTTTTCGTTATTTAAACATTGATTCTTTTGCTTATTTTCATCTTAATATTCAGATATTTAGTCCTTTAAACTACGAATTTTTAGCGAAATATTAAATTCATTTAAGCAAAGGTAATAAGAAGATTTTCTTAAATTAACGTTTAACTTTGTTTATAGAATCGAATATAAAGTGGGTGTTTATATAAACAACATTTGCTCGCAAGTGTATCATTCGATAATAACAAATTTACTTGTATAATATCTGTCAACGGTCGTCCTTATCGGACACCATTGCAGCCACAACTCTTCTTTTCTGATCGGCCAACGTGTACATAAAGAATAATTGGAAATTATAATACCGTAGTCATCTACGTTTATTTTTAACGGACACGGCGTGACAAATTTCCTAATTAGTCGCGGCTACCCGATATTCGTATAGGAACATAAATAAGTGTGGTAGAATTTGCAGAGAGGAGGTATAAAAAGCGGTATATCTGTAGTTATCATCGAACGGACGGACAAAAGAGTCGACCCCGAATTTGAAGAAATTCAACAGATGCCACAAGAGTAATGAGAGTTCTCCGGGATCAACTTTCCTCCAATTCGAAGATAAGGATCCTCGCGCTAGTAGGATTACAGTGGCGACAGAGGAGCGATAAAGTGGCCTTTGAGTGGCAAGCGGTCGGCGACAAGTTCACAAGAAACAGAAAGAGAGATTCGCTTATCGTCGGCGTGACTGCTCCTAACAGGTGATGCAATGGACCTGGTTAATGCACAGTCCAACTTAATGTGACCGTGGGAGGTCCTGGCTGGCGGAAGTTTTTCACAAAAGTCCCTTCCTTAGGGTACCTTTTTTTATTTATTTACTTTTTTACCTCTCACCTTGTTTTAGGACGCGGAAATCGCATTTCGTCCAATGTCTGTGGGCAATTAAATCGTTTGACATTCAGTACGCATCTTCGCTCTTCTTAAGTGTTTTTTTTTTCTTCTTCTTCTTCTTTCTTTCTTCATTTCTATTTTATCTCCTATCAAATTTTTACATATTCTTCAACGGTTCTGAGTATAAAAATTTCAGTCCAAATGACTCCGTGTCTAATCTTGACATTCCATTCGAGAGCAATTTATTTTTGCCGTGCGAAAACACCAAATTCGTGCTTCGATTTATTCTAAAATTCGAAAAATTTTCTATATTTATGAGCCACCCAATTAACGAATTAATATTTACCAAACGAGTTACGGCTATTGCAAAATAACTTTTGGCATCTAAACTTAATTAACTTGTCGTTTTATAGTGTTATTTTTGCGCAAGGTTAACTAGAAAAAAAAAGTATATTAAACATTTTTATTTTCATTTATCTATAGATAAACCAGGCATTACTCTATATTTAGTAATACTTTGAAGTTTTTACCTCCTACTTTATTTTTTTTTTTGCCTTATTTGGTTACAGAAAACGTCTCTAGTAAATCATATTTTATGAAAAAAGTAAATATGGTTTCATCCTCGGGATAGAAAACATAGTAATTGCTAATTTATAGCTTCATTCTTGTTTTTCAGGTCCTGTCTAGTAAATTTTATTAGGTATTTTTACACCGCGTACAGTACAAGTAGACAAAGATGTGATTGTTAAAGAGAATTATGCTTAATTATATTTAAAAACGGTTTGAATATATGCAACTTAACATCGGTTTTTTTTATTTTAGTTTCTTTTAAATTTTCCATTAACATTTATCGGGTGAGATGTAAATTCCTAAAGGTTTCTTATGTTCAAAAATAGAAAAACTTGTACATCATTCTGAGCTTATTTTCACCATTTTCGTGGGAATATTATCTGGTTTTTATCTCGAAACCGAGCGAAGAGGAACACCTCGAGCTGTTATAGCGACATGTTTGTCTAAATACTATGGCAGGCTTTGTTTCCTAAGTCTTTTCCCAGCTGCTGGTTGATCTTTCAAAGAACGTCTTCTTTTCTGTTAAGGGAAACTTGTCTCGATTAGTTTTTCTGCCTCTTAAAACTCCTCTTTGTATCGGGCTATTACTGTTATTAAAACATGGACAGCCACCCACGCCGTAAAATTTCAGAAATTATCTAAAGTTTTTCGACTAGAAACGTTCTCTCAAAATACTAAAACTCAACAACAAAGTATGATCTTACTAAACATTCTCCAAATTCTAATCAGCATCTACTTATACCTATTAGGTTTACTAGCTTATACTAATTAATAATTAAAATTCGTTATTTTACTATTAATTTTAGACTTAAGTATCCATTAATTAAAGTGTAAATTTTCTATCTTTTTTTTTTTTTTTTTTGAAACAAATTCTATTGCTTTATTAAGATGTATTTAACGGTTAGTTATAAAGGTTTTACTCCCGCTTTAATAGTTTAACGATTAGTTACAAGTTAACTTTAGTGGTTATTAATTACCATTCATCGATAAGTAACGGCTAAAGTATCTTAACACTCCGTTAAAACTATAAATTTAGTTAAAAATTAAGGCCATTTTGTACGCCAAATTTACGTTACCAAACGGTAAAATTTTTATACAGAAGGCTCCGTTGTTATATAAAATATTATCTCTACAACATTGATTATTAAATTACAAATATGGCATTAATCTCTTTATATATTTAGAGAAGTACAATTACCAATTATGCAAGTTTAGGATTAATGATAACATATCAGGCAGCACATGGATAATTTTGGTTGTAGGGGAGTATATCTATCGACAACGATAATAAAGACTTCGAAGACAACTCATATTTTATTAATTAAAATATGAATTATTCACATTAGCTTACGTATAAAATGTACCGTGTGTGTGTAATTATCATAGATCTGTAATGAGATAATGATTTATCTTATAAACGATTAATGATAATTTAAACAAATGAGATTGATAAAGCTATTTTACTACTGTTTACGGATCTAATTTGAATAGATACGTTTGATCTAATTGTCGAAATGTGTTCGTCTATGATCTTAAATGGCTCAAATACTTTAATGTAATAAATTT